AGCTTTGTTAGTAATTCAGCAGACACAAGACTGAAACCTCAGGGCAACAGCCCTGTTTAAATAGCATGCAAAAATCACATTCAAACACACCCAACTCCCAAGGATAGACTATTTACATAACACTAGTTTCTCATTGGTCACCTCCAGAGTCCTGGTGGGCTTTAGTTCTAGACCTCCAAGCTCAGCCAGTCTCTGGTACCCAGTCCTGGAATATTCCAGCCCTAATACATAACATTTACCCAGCCATCTTCCATGGCAGAGTGGGGATTTGAGCTAAGGTTGATAAACTCCAATGACTTTTGTGGGAGGGTAAATCTCATGTTGCCCCTCTCCTTGCTGCCTACTTTGGTTCTCTTTGTCCTTTGGCTTCCACTTTCCCCTTTCCTTGCCCCTGGCCCATCCCCCCCATTAGCTTTCCTCTGTGTTTCCTTTGTCTCCTCCTCCTCCCATTGGATACTACTGTGGCCAGCTCTTGTGTAAGTGTAATGTACTCTGCCATGACCACGTGCGCGACCGTTGAACCATGCGGTCATGCAAAGTCCTGAAGCTTCGCTCCGATAGAACAATAGCCAAGCGGATCCTAGCCCGCACCTATCAGAGGGCCAGGTCCACAGCCGAGAGCCTATGGGACTCTCGGCTACTGTATATAGTCTATAGGGAAGTAGGGGGTGTGTTTGGTGAAGGGTTTTGCTGTGCATATATACCGGCCTGCGAGCCGGCTTATTTTGTCTTGTTCCATCTGAATAAAAGTACTTTGCTGAAATCACTCAACGTTTCTCAGTACTTTTCAGTAAGGGTTTCGGTTACAATCATAGCCCAAATTGCAGCACGTTTTTTGTTGTTGTAATACCTATATGTGTGCAGATGTTGCAATCAATCTCAGTTTTTATAATCTCCAAACATTTTTTAGTAAGATTTTTCTAAAAACTTTTGCCTGGACTTCGAGAACCATAAACGTTAATTATGGCTGGCCCCATTGTACCGATTTGCCTATTTGCTTTGCTGGAAGATCTAAGGAGATGAAATATAATCATGAATGCAGTGTGATCCTAAGCATTTTTATTAAGATGTAACCCCCCCCTCTCCCCTGCATTTATTGGAGCTTATTTCCCAGTAATTGTGCATAGAATTGCAGCCTTGGGCTAAAAAAAGAATGAATCACATCTTTTTGATCTACAACTCCCTTTGAAGTAAAATTGTCTTTCCAACAAGACTTGTAAGGTAACAAACATGAGCCAACGCTGATAAAAATGTTCCCATTACATTGTTGTTGTAAGGGAAGAGCAGGACTTTTTCCACATGGAGACTTCCCCCCAGGCAGTACAACATGCCTGGCCGATGCCCCCCACTTTAGTTGGCAGCTTCCACATAATGGTTGGGGCTCCCAGGCCTTTCCCTTTTAAGTTGGAGCAAAGGAGAAAGTTGTGGGCTCTGACTTAAAGGTGCTCTGTCTCTGTGTGAAAGGAGGAGGCAAAGCTTAGCACCACCTTCAGAATGGCATCACCCAGCTCCTACATTCCTCCCCTTTTAGCCCTTTAAGGTGGCTTTTACAAAAACCATGACTCAGTTGTTCGGGGTGGGTGGGCTGGCAAGAATGTTTACCTGGTCAGTGCTTCCGTGCCAATGTTGATGAGTAGAAAGGGAGTGGGGATGGGTGGTGCCAGCAGTGAGTGGCATGGGGACAGGACATGTGATGGAGTTCCCGGCCTCCCGGCAAAGCCGTTGAGGTCAGGGGGATTTTTTGCGGAGGAGCCGGGGCAGCAACAGAAGCATGATGCATGGCGTCATGATGACGACGGGGTGGGCAGAGCCGGCTTGGCAAACTGCCGGGCTCCGCTCCTGCCCTGTCAGTTGGAAACCGGAACCGGTGAGCACCTGACGGCAATTTCCCCATTAGGGAAGAGGGGGTCATAAGGAACTGCCTTCGGATTTTCAGGTCCACGGTGGGGAATGGTGATCACCTCCTCTGGGAACCTCGTAGGGTATGCTCATCTCTGCAAGTTGTCAGGCTTCAGGGGTAGGCGCTCCTATGTGGCAACCAGTTTGCTGGGCTGCCGGTCGCAAGCCAGATAGATGGCTCAAGACCGGAGCTGGGTGACCCGCCCAAGAAAAGGGCAAGGAGGTTGGTCAAGTGAATGACACCTGCCTTGCCTGTTCCGTGCTCGCTTAGATGGTCCCTTGCCGCAATGTTATGTTAAATAGTAAATAAAGTGGCCCTTGTTTACTTCCAAACTGTTGTCTGTCTTGTTATTCCGACTGGGGGGGCAAATGCCATCCCTGTGCCCCTCAGTGCCACTTGCTGCTGCTTGCACAATCCAGGTACTGTGGCACTTAAGAGCAGCTGTGTTGGCCTGCTGTAGAACAGATTCTAGTCCAGTAGCACCTTAGAGACCAACAAGAGTTTCAGGGTACAAAGCTCTTTTCAAAACACCTGCATGACAAAGGGCACTTTGACTCTTGAAAGCTTATACCCTGAAATTATTGTTGGTCTCTAAATTGCTACTGGACTCAAATCTGTCTTTACAAACACAAACCCTTTATATATGATGGGCTCTTAGCTTGGCTGCTGCTGCTCCCAACAGCTCTTGTTCCCCTCCCCAGCCATAACTTGTGACTTGACTAGCTTTGAAAAGCTCCACCCCATCCTGAGTGTCAGCATAGGGTAGATAATCATGGAATGAAAAGGCATAATGGCTGTGGTCACACACATTAAATAATCCACTTTCAATCCACTTTCCAAATGGTCTTGTCAGTTCACACATTAAAATCCAGTTGGAAAGTGGATTGAAAGTGGTTTATTTCATGTGTGTGACCGCAGCCAACATTTGTTATCACATTATCTATATATCTAATTCCCAATTTGCCCCCGGAGTGCGGATCGCTAAATTAGCGCTCCGGGGGCAGCTGGGGGGGCGGGGGAGGTTTGTGCACACGTGGGCCAGTCCCCACATGTGCACAAAAATAAAAAAAGTTGAAAAAAATTTCGGGGGGATGTTTAAATCCCCCCGAAAGTGCAAGAGCGTCTCCTGCGCGTGCGCAGGAGACG